AGGCGTGAGCCACCGCGCCTGGCCCAGAATGTGAATTTTTTTAATGTAATGCACTAGAATGCAAGCCAGACTGAAAATATTCTATAAATAGAACAGTGTTTTTTCTAATACTCTAACAAATTAAACTAAAAATGTATTTATTCATATTCTTTCATTGAATGTAAACTCTGATCATATCATTCTGTGTGGTCAATGCTAAGAAATGAGAAAAGTTCATTTTTTTCTTGAGAAATAAAAAGTTTGGGCTGGGTGTGGTGGCTCATTGCCAGTAATTTCAACACTTTGGGAGGATCACTTGAGTCCAGGAGTCTGAGACCAGCCTGAGCAACAAAAATATTTTAAAAATTGGCCAGAAATAAATAAGTGAGTAAGTAAGTAAGTAAGTAGCAGGGCATGGTGGCTCAGGCCTATAGTCTCAGCTGCTTGGGAGGCTGAGGCAGAAGATCACTTGAGACTGAGGGGTTTGAGGTTGCAGTGAGCTATGATGACACCACTGCTCTCTAGCCCAGGCAGCAGAGGAAGACCCTGTATCAAAAAAAAGAAAAGAAAAAGAAAAAAAATCTGGGTCGGGAGCATGGCAGATTAGGGGTGACCTCCTGGCTCTCTCCTCCCAGAGTGGGAGGTGAAGAACATGGACACCCACACGCGAGTGAGGCGCTACCCTACAGGATTAGCTTCGTGAATCTACAGAGAAGCAGTGAGGGACAAGCAGTCCCGCGGATAAAATCAGGTGAAGTCAAAAAACACTCGCAAATTACCGGAGAGTTGGGACAAAGGGGAAAGGCAGCGCGGGACGGCCACGCCCTGCGGCAGGCTCGCCCAGGCAGGGAGATCTGACTCACAGGAAGACGACTCTTCCTTCACCAAACCCCACTCCCACGCAGGCAGGGAAGTGCTAGAGGTCAGTGCGAAGTGGTAGCACAGACCAACAAGCGGTGCGGAGCCGAGACAGGAGCGGGGTCCATTTTGAACGTAGTGGAGCGCGGCGCTGCGTTGGCATCGGAGGGGAGGGACCGGCCCGAGCGCGCGCTCCCCGGATCGGAGGCCGCCCGAGCCCACGGGGGAGAGTTTGGAGGCAGCTTCTTGCCACAGGAGACCGCCAGGACTAGTTCGGGGGAGGGGAACTCCATAAAAGAGGCTCTACCCGCAGAAATCGCTGAAAGTTCAGCGGGTGCTGGGAGGGACACAGCACAGTGTCCTCCCGCGGATGGGTCCAGAGTCGCCGTGGGTAGGGCGCGCAGCGAACTCAGCGTGTGGCCCTGGGAGTTGGCAACGGCAGACCCCAGCACCAGATGCCCTCCTGGTGCAGTCGGCTTCAGCGCTGACTAGCAGGGGGTGGGCAGCTGCAATTCGGGGACCCCAAAGCCTGCGACCGCGGGGACTTGTTGCCCGGGCGTCCGCCTGAGTCATAGCTGCTGCCTCTGTGGCAGAGCTGGTCGCGCCCTGTGAGGAGAGGCGCGCAGCCACTTTTTCTCCCAAATCTGCGGAGTCCGTCGCAGCCACAGACTCAAGCCCCGCCTCCGAAAGAGCGGAAAAGAAAGAGCGATATTGCTGCCGAGTTTCCAGGCAGTCTCCGGCGGCCCTGTTCCACTCAGTCGCTGACGCTGTCCGCAAAATGACGGGGAACTGAGAGTGAACTGAGGGAGACTGCTTATAGAACTGTGATCCAGGACACATAAGTCCTCCTCTGCCCGGCGATTCGCCCTCCGCCCCAACACACCGCGCTAAAAGGCCGGCCTCTGCCACTAGGCGGAGTAAAGGGGCCATTTTTTTTTTTCTTTTAAATTTTTTTGTATAGTGGTGATCCGAGACGACATAACTAGCCCCTCCGCCAGGCGACTCGACCCCTACCCACACATAGTGCCAAAGGACCTGCCTCTGCCTCCAGGCGGAGTAAAGGGGTCGTTTTTTGTGTGTGTGTGTGTGT